AAATTATGCTGAGCGAAATTTCGTAACAGTTTCCGAGAGAGATCACGTAATATGGCGGGGTCATTTATTTTTTTTTAACTAGGCAAGCACACTCAAACGCTCGGTGACGATGACTTGTGACTTCGTACTAGTATAATTTTCGATGGCTGCCGAACAGTTCCGTCTGTCCAAGGCTTGAATTAAACTGTGGTATGGTTTTGAGTCATTTTCCGAAGGTTACGTGTAGTGGGATCGAACCCGGGGCCGATCCGATAGAATGCTTACATCTCAAATCAATGCATGACAAATCTACCATGCTGGTATTAGAACCCGGCAATCTATGCAAATATATATATATATTCCTATTCCTATATATATATATATTCCTATCCTCACAAATTTCTTCTTAACGTAACCCTTTACCTTGAGAATCCCACCCCGGGCCTTGTACAAGGTCAACCTTACTGTAAAAAAAAAAAAAGAAAAAATTTGGAAAGGGGGTAATCTTGGCTGCAGTCCCAGCAATGTTCTAAACTGAACAATTTGCGATCTCAAACATCGTCGTAGACAAGATAGTTCGTTATACGTACAAACATACTTTTCTATTACTTTAGTCGCTATTTTTTGTGGTTACACATATATAAATAGACGTCCTGTTTAATAAACAGTGTGTATTGCGGTGTATTACGTCTACCGTTTTAAAACACTGTTTAAAAAAAAACAGGACCTCTCCTAAAACACGGATATCCCCTAAAAATAACGTATAAGGTATAAAGTAATAAAAATGCCGGATTAAAACTGGCAATGTTTTACTATCTCAACATAACTATTGAAACTAGTTTTAATTATACAAACGTTTTTATTTTTTTAAATCATTTCAACACAAGCAAGGTAATAAAGTCACTAAGACGCAAGGGATTATTGAGTGTTAAAGAATATGAGAAAAAATTCTGTTAAGGAGAGAGGACAATAAAAGAACAGGAAGTAAGAATAGAGAATATGACGATTTTTTTTAATCATTTGTAAATTGTTAAAACCTTGTTACCAATCGAGTATGGCTCTTTCATAATTCATAGTCTTCAGAAGAATTAGCATGAAATTATATATAGAAAAATCAGATGGAATCTACATTACAGCCTTAGGAAAGAAACTAAAACCGAGATGCTGGGTCAACACCAATAATATTGCGGATTCTTCTTTGGGTTTTATAAAATAATCTCTAAATATATAGCAGAAGCAGCGGATCATTTTTGACGGAAATATTCAAAGCTTGAACGAAAGATTTAATGATTTAATTTAAATGTTTCAAGGTCAGAATTGATTGGAAAGCAAGAAACCGGAAGTGAGGTCCACAAGCGAGAAGTGTGAGACAAAAACACTGCTAGGACAGAACATACGGTTACGTCTAACCATTTCAACTGCAGAATAATGAGACCTTAAGGCCAATCTAGTATTGCGCTTAAGTTCATAAACTCTTGGTACCATAGAAGAAAGTTCATCAATAGTAGTATAACAAGATGAGCATTTTAGTATTATTTTTATCCAGTTTTAACTGCAGTTCGTGTCACTTTTAGCTAATAAAGAATTTACAGTTGTCTTAACATAACCCTTGTTATTTTTTTCTTCAAAATACTATCTACGCCATCTAGGTCGGTTAATTTGTTTCTAAATGAATAAAGCTAACAGTTTTTCCTTTCTTCTTGGGCTAGTTCGGCGCCCAGACATTCCATTTGCTAAAAGACAGACGCTGTTAATGGAAATTGTTCCTCAGTTTTCATTTCCAAATTTTAATCATGCCTACATCTTGTGTCGCTTACGTGCAAGAAAATTAATGGCGACTACAAATGAGAATGAGAATCTTTCTTTTATGCCACAGCTTCAAAATAAAACATTTTAAAATAAAAGCCGTGTCTGTTGACTGGATACAATGTTATCATCCTTCTTTAGACGCTGATGGAATTGAGTATCGCAGAATTTACAAGTATACAATTGGACGAGAAGTTTTTTTTTTTTTGTTTCGGTGAAGGTACGTGTTAATCGGATTTAATTAAACCAAGTAGTAAATTTTGACTAGCACGTACATACACAGACACACACATACGTATACACATGCATATACATCTCTCTATATATCTATCTATCCATGCTATAAGGAAAATTATTAAACACCATATTTTTGCTGTAACCCCTGAAAAATATATAAAGTTTATAATATATGATAGAAAATAGAAGACCGTAAAGCTTGTCGTCAATAAACGAAATAACCCAACCAAATCTAGAGGTGATCAATATAGTGTACCAATTTTCATGCCCCGTGCAAGATTGTGTTACTTGTCAAAAATCAATTACCTATATAGGAGACACGCTACTACCTCCTTAACTAGACACATGCCACCTCTCGAAGCATAATGCGATTAGTAAACATTTATTGACCTATAATTGAAAAAAAACCTTAATGAAAATTCCGGTTAACACAAAAATTCTTTTCAAATCGCATAGTCGTAGACACCTTACTATTAGAGAAGTATTACTAATTAAATACCGTTCCCCTGTTATCAATCCTACACTATTCAACAGTGGAAATAGCGTGTTAAAGGTTTTCTAAAAGTAGAAGTCATGCCCAGGTCAACGTGTCGCGCATAGCACGAGACCGCCAAAAAAGTATACACTACTCCGCAAGAACTCCACGTAGCTAAACCACTATGTAGAAGATAACACACGTAAATTCCTGATACCAAAAACAACATCCTTGATAATGGCTAGAGAACTAACCGAAAGCGCTGGGAACAATAATAACCTTCGAGAAATTTTATATTTTTAACACCTAAAAATCGAAAAAAAATGTTAGAATGCTGAAAAACTCAATAAAAGATTAATTAAATCTTCCTTGACGGACTGTCTTCAATGAAAGATGCTTGAAAGAAAGTTTACTGCCTAAATACACATTAATATATATATATATATATATATATATATATATATATATATATATATATATATATACATACACACACACACACACATATATATATATATATATATATATATATATATAAAAAACAACAAATTCAGATTACAGATACTAGAAGCAATATATGTTAAAAAATTAAAGCCGGCAATAAACAGAATCAACTATGAATACTGCAGTAATTTTTTGAAATGCCTGTAAAGGAACAGTTTTTTCACGATTTAATGCGCGCATGACCATGACCTTATAACATGAAAAAAATTCAATATTAATGGATAATTTTTCACGTTCTAATGAACGCTCAGAACATTGTCAACTATTTTGCATTTGAAAGCATAATGAAAAAATTACGGTAATGTATAAAACGTACAACTTTGCAACAGAGGAGCGTTTCGGTTAGCAAGGTCGATTTTACTGTTTTTAAACTACAATTCTCCATGATTTTCTCTCGTACATTCATATCTGCTCGATGCGTATCCAAATGTAAATAAATGACGTCACACATTATGGAATGGACAAAGTCCAACAATTATTTTAAGACATTTTTTAAGTTTATATCTATATATATTTGTATCTATAAAAAGAATGTATAAACATAAAAAATGTCTTGATATATATATATATATATATATATATATATATATATATATATATATATATATTATATGTGTGTGTGTGTGTGTGTGTGTGTGTGTGTGTGTGTGTGTATAACAAAGTGAAAATGTTTTCTTCTGATGTTGTAGCGACTAGGTATGCTGGGAATTTTTAATTTTAATTAATTCGATTTCATTTAGGCAAAAACAAATTAAATTTTAAATTCTCAGCATCATTCATTCGTGCGCATGTGCAGTCGCACCAACATAACAAATTTAGTTCGATGAAGTCCTGAAGGACGCGTCACAAGAAAACTTTTCCCACTTTGTCAGATATTTTCTCCTAATATTGTTCTTGATATATAAAAAATATATATGATTATCTCATATATATGTTATCCCCAAAAATTCAGGGGTTTATATCTGTCGGCTTAGACTGCATTTTTAGTATCTCATCTGATATTTTACACTAGAAAAAGACACAAACATTTCTTTCGGATAAATCCTCATTTATATATAGGCGTGTACAAAGTGTTTTAGTTTGATTTGTTGTTGTTGTTGTTGTTGATGCTGTTGTTTTTGTTTTTTATTTAACAATGTTTTCCTTTTGCATTCTTAGTCTTTACGTTTGCCGGGTATGACGATAAACTACATCCGACGGTAATGTCTCTGATAAGGTTTTACGGAGCGTGTAACCACCTCTTAATTGCTGGTGTTCCCAGGTCCACCCTCACCCGGGGTGGTAGCACCTATTAGGGTCCCAGCTACAGGCAAATAATTAACCCCCACACACTGGTGTCAAAACATTATAAAAGTGTAATAATGGGTTTTAATACCAGCAATACATTTTCGAAAAAGAAAAATATTACCAGCAATACATTGTTACCAGCAGGGCATTTTTGAAAAAGATTAGCAGCAATACATTTTTGAAAAAGAAAACTATTACCAGCAATACATTGTTACCAGCAGGGCATTTTTGAAAAAGATTAGCAGCAATACATTTTTGAAAAAGAAAAATATTACCAGCAATAAGAAACTTGTCGGCATTAAATAACTCATTGAGGTTGATATGCCGTAAAACAAATCAAACCAAACGAATTTGCTGCTAACATGTAAATATCAAATCGGCCATAATGTTCTTGTAGTATTTGTAAATTAAAAATATAGCTACTTTCAGTAACTTTAATACGATATTACAATCGCACTTACGCGCCATTTATTATAGCATTGTAGCCAAAAATAATCCTTGAAATTGCCCGAAACTAACAAATTCTGGAGAAGTTTAACATTCAATAAATCTAGACAAAAAGACACTTGTAGGTAAAAGCATACTAAAGAAAATTAAATTGAGATTACTGCCAGAATACACTACAATCAATCAATCTATCTATCTATCTATCTATCTTAGTCCTTTCATATCTATCTATCTATCTACGGATACCCAGTTTGAAAATCACTAA